GGTTATCTATGACCCCATACCTGTTTGTGATTGTGGCAAGCTGAAGGTCCTAAATGATCGATATGATCGTGATTGTGTCATACAATTTCTAATGGGTTTATCTGATTCTTATTCCTCTTCAAGAGATCAGATTATGCTTCTTGATCCTCTACCGCCTCTTAATCGAGTTTTTTCCATGATTCAACAACAAGAACGACAGCATCTTATGCTTACCCCACCTTCTAATTCTGATCTCATGGCCATGATCGCTAAAAACTACTCCCATTCTCCCAAACTTTCCCAGAAATTTCATAATTCTGTCAACCAGAAATCCATTCGTCCCCATTGCACTCATTGCAAAATCCAAGGCTACACTCTTGAGAATTGCTTCAAAGCAAGAAATGCAACCCCGCCCTTGTGTACATATTGCAATATGACTGGACATTCAGTTGAGAAATGTTACAAACTACATGGGTATCCACCTGGCCATAAGTTTCATGGCAAGAACAAGAATTTTACTGCTGCTACCGCTGTTGCTCCCTCTCGAGCATGCTCTCCTGATGATAACAATGACGGGTCCTCTGAGACTATGGCTCTCACCAAGGGTCAATATAATCAACTCTTGGCTCTGTTACACCCTCAAGACACCAGTTCAGCCATGGCAACCTTATCTGTCACTCACCCTTCTAAGCCTGTCCCCAATTCCAACATCTCTGGTATGGTTACTTGTTTATCCACTCAAACACACACCACTCCTTGGATAATAGACACTGGAGCCACAGATCACATGATCGGTTGCCCCTCTCTCTATTCATCCATAACAGCCAATGTATCATCTGTGGTTAAATTACCTAATGATGCAGCTGTTCCTGTTACTCACATTGGTGTTGTTCGCTTATCTGAAAATTTAGTTCTTCAAAATGTGCTTTGTGTTCCTTCTTTCACCTTCAATTTAATTTCTGCTAAAAAGCTTGCTCTCCATTCTTCTTGCTGCCTTATTTTCTTTTCCCATTCATGTTTTGTACAGGACTTGGCATCTTGGACAATGATTGGGATGAGTGAAATGAGGGATGGTCTGTATCAGCTACAGGAATTTGGTGTGTCTCCTTCAGCTTTGGCTGATGTTTTACCAGCTTTCCTTCATAAAGACCAGCTTCTTAGTGCCTCAGTTACAAGCCAGAATTCCCCTTCAGATTTATGGCATTTTAGACTTGGACACATTTCATTTTCTAGGCTTCTCTTAATTGATGATCATTTTGTAAAACAAAACATGAGTTCTTCTAATACATCACCCTGCTGTGTTTGTCCTCTGGCCAAGCAGCAACGTCTTCCTTTTACAAGCTCTACAACTAAATCTCTTAATCTTTTTGATCTTATCCACTGTGATATCTTGGGTCTAAACCCCACAATTGCTATTGATGGTTCTCGATTTTTCCTTACTCTTGTTGATGATTTCTCAAGGACTACATGGGTTTATATGCTCCAACACAAATCTGATGTGAGATCTTGTATTGAAAGTTTTTACAACTTAATTGAAACTCAATTTCAGACTAGAATTAAAATGTTCAGAAGTGATAATGGCAAAGAATTCCTTATGACAGACTTTTTTAAATCTAAGGGTATTATCCATCAAACTAGTTGTGTCGAAACACCACAACAAAATGGGATAGTAGAGAGAAAACATCAACATATCATGAATGTAGCTCGAGCCTTAAGATTTCAGTCCAATATTCCCCTTAAATACTGGAGTGATTGCATTCTAACTGCTGTTTATATTATCAACAGAACACCAACACCATTACTTCATAATAAAACTCCTTTTGAAACCCTTTTTCGTAAGCCACCCATCTACCATCATATGAGAGTTTTTGGCTGCCTTGCCTTTGCTTCAACCTTGCCTCATGGAAGAAAGAAGTTTGACCCAAGAGGCAGGAAGTGTGTATTTCTAGGTTACCCATTTGCTGTCAAAGGTTACAAATTATTAGACTTACAAACTGAACAAATATTTATTTCTAGGGATGTTGTGTTTCATGAAAGAATTTTTCCATTCAATACAAGCATCTCATCTCCCGATCCATCTCCCATTCCTTCCATTCCTCTCATTCCACCAACACCTTTTATTTTTCCTCCACATAACTCAGATTCCACCCCTCCTGCCTATCAGCATTCCCCTACTTCTCCATTCCCTTCACAACCTAATTTTTCCCCTGAGATACCTCAACCTACCCTTTTTTCTCATTCCCCATCTTCTTCCCCACCTCCCCAATCTCCCATCCCTTCCATCCACCACCACCCCCTCCTCCTCCTCTCCCTCGCAGGTCTTCCAGACCTAAGCGTGCACCCAAATTTCTACAGGATTTTCATTGTCAACAGAAGGCTCTCACTTCCTCCAACCAGCTGTTGCCTAAGCAGCTAGGTCCAATACAAGGTACTTCTTTCTCTCTTAGTAATTACTTATCTTATCATACTTTTTCCCCTTCTTACCAAGCATTCTCCACTACCCTTTCCACTCATTTTGAACTAAAAACATATCGCCAAGCTCTCAAACATCCAGGCTGGTGTCAGGCCATGGATGCTGAACTGGTTGCCTTGGAAGCCAACAATACCTGGCAACTCACAGATTTGCCTCCAGGAAAAGTGCCCATTGATTGTAAATATGTCTACAAAATAAAATACCATTCCAATGGATCTATTGAGAGATTGCATGCTCGCTTAGTAGCCAAGGGCTACACACAACTTGAGGGAATAGATCTTCAAGAAACATTCTCTCCTGTTGCCAAGTTGGTAACTGTGAGATGCCTCTTAGCAATTGCTTCAATTAAGGGCTGGCATTTACATCAATTTGATGTAAATAATGCTTTTTTACATGGAGACTTACTTGAAGATATTTACATGAAGAAACCTCCTGGTTATAACAAAGGGACACCCACCCAAGTACGCAAACTATTAAAGAGTTTATATGGCCTCAAGCAAGCATCGAGGCAATGGTACTCTAAATTTTCACAGTCACTACTTGAATTTGATTTTTCTCAATCAAAGGCTGATTATAGCCTCTTCAAAAAGGAAACTAATGGTTCTTTCACAGCTTTGCTAGTATATGTCGATGACATACTTGTGGCCAGCAATAACATTGATTCCATTAACCAGTTGAAAGTTTTTCTTGACAGCAAATTTAAGATAAAGGACCTCGGCTCCTTGAGGTATTTTCTTGGCATTGAGATTGCTCGTTCTTCTAAGGGTATCTTTTTATGTCAACGAAAGTACACTTTGGACATTTTAGCTGATTCTGGAAATTTAGACAGCAAACCCACCAAAGTTCCCATGGAACAACACCTCAAGATCACTCAATCTTCTGACCAACCCTTGCCAGACCCCAGCGTTTTTAGAAGATTGATTGGTCGTCTTCTTTATCTTACTATTACTCGACCTGACATTTGTTATAGTGTGCAAACCTTGAGTCAATTTATGGCTGCCCTCACTTCAGCTTATTGCTTTCTGTGACTCAGATTGGGCATCCTGTCCCCGACACCAGATGCTCAGTTACTGGCTATTGCATCTTCCTTGGTTCATCAATGATTTCATGGAAATCAAAGAAACAATCAGTTGTTTCTCGATCCTCAGCCGAGGCTGAGTATCGATCAATGGCAGCTACATGTTGTAAGCTCACTTGGCTGCGTTTTATACTCTCTGCTCTCCAGGTTGATCATCCTCAAGTTGCAGCATTGCATTGTGATAACCAGGCTGCCATCCATATTGCAGCCAATCCCGTCTTCCACGAGAGAACGAAACATATCGAGCTTGATTGTCACTTAATTCGTGACAAGATTCAAAAGGGTAGCATTAAAACTTTTTATGTTCCAACCTCCAACCGGTTAGCTGATCTTTTGACTAGAGCTTTGCCATCCATTGTTCTTCGCTCTCATTTATCCAAGATGGGAGTTCTCAACCTCCACTCTCCATCTTGCGGGAGGTATTGGAGCATAATACATCACATTTAAATCAAGGGAACATATTCGTTGCTGAAGAAGGATGAATTCCATTTTCTGTTATTTGTCTGCTGAGTTGTATAGAGGGATAATTATGTATTTTTCCCTTATAGGTTGTTAGGAGATTCCAACTGTAATTATATATAAATGCTGTGTACATTTTTCATCAATTCCATCAGAGAAGATTTTCTCCTATTTTCCCGTCTTCTCTGACATTTCTTTATTTTCCAACTTCTTTCATCTCTCCCCAAAAAGAAACCCCTCCGCAGCCCCAAAAACGAGAGCCATTATTGTGGCTGAATAAAAATACAGAACAAGCTGAAGAATAAAAAAGAAAGAAAATGACCAATCAGTTTGAGAATCTGAGATCAATTTAGGTCAATTTTCACAAGACAAAAAAAAGAAAAGAGGAAGAAGAATGGGAGGTCTCAATGTAACAATTTTCTTGCATTAAATGTTGAAAAATGAACAATCGATTTGAGATGCAGTTGAATGAATGAAACATTTGAGTTTTGAAATTGAGAAACAAGAAAAATGAGCTTTGAGATCTAACTGGGAATTGAAAATATTTTCTTGTGTACTTTCATCCATTTAAAAATAATAACAATAATAACCATGGATGCAAACCTATTAATTTTTGACCATTTTTTTAACGAGTCAAAATTAGACATTTCCCTAATTTCCTCTAAATAATATTTACCTCCTCTCACCCTCGAGTCATATGATCTTGAATGATCCATGTTTTCCTTGAATGTTGGCATATCCAAATACTCTAGGGCTACTACATATACCCACACCAAATCCACGAAAAGAAAAGAATGCGAATTCCATTGCCGTTGTGACTAGGGAAATCTATTGCATTAGACACCTACCTTAATCATCATTCTTTCATAATGTCTTTGATTTCTTATCATTCCAAACAAAACAAATAGATAAACGCGGTTCATGTCTTCCACTACAAGCAAATGCAAATCCAAAATTGTCTAAATTGTTCAAGACAGAAAGGCTGCAACAAGTTAAATCGTGACAACATGTTTACTTGATCTTCTTCTTTGGCCTCAACTGCAAATTAGAATGAAGAAAATGAACTTTTGTCGACAGCAATGCACGAGGTTAAAAAACAATAACATGACATCTATGTATCAGTAAATACCTGATTGCTATGTCCACATTTCTTCTTCCTGCAGTTCACGGCACGAGGGTGCAGACGAGCATAACATCTGGAACAAGAGTGATCACAGGAATTGGTATTATACAGAAGCTTCAAAAGCCCTAGAACTTGAAACTTGAATGTCTTGTTAAATAGTTAAAATCTTCATGCAATAGCTCAAAATAAAGTATCCTGCCTGTAGTAATTAGCCCTTGTTTGGTCCCCGTTATTTCCAAAATACATTTTTTCTCTCTAATTTTCAACCACAAATTCTTCAATAAAATAATATTACAGACAAATCCAAAACTTTTCCTTATTTTTTACACACATTCTCTATCAAATCACTATTTCAAAATGCATTTTTTTGCATAAAAAAGGGGGGGAGGGGCTCAAACAGGCTCATAATTTGAGCATCTTCTTTTAATGGAGCTGTTGATACACCATACTGTATTATGAGAATAATATTAGCCTATTAGGGGTGGTTAGTATCAAGGAAAATTAAGGGGGCACTTTTGGTACACTATTGTATTAATCTAGGGTGTATACCGATACTAATCTAAGGCATATTGTTAGTGTACCATGTACAATTTAACAAACTTCACATGCACACAACCCACATGAACATGTATAGCCCACCATTAACCCTTTTCCCTCAGAATAATCGTGCCCAGTTAAGTTCAGATGACATAAATTACTCAGAATTATTATTTTAGGTACTATCTAGACCAAACACCGACTTCAATAAATTTTAGTCTAATACGGTGCCAAACAGGAGGATCTACTATACCAGCTGTCTAAAATATCTTTGATGTTTGGAAACATAAGTGTTATAAGGTTAACCCAGGTATACAATCCCTATTCTTGAAGGGATTAGACAACTACATTTAAAAAATTATGATATGCTCCACCTTATAGATCAGCTACTAGCACCCAAGAAAAGCCCAACATATATTCAAGTGACAGCCTTACATGTTGTCCTAGGGTGTATAGAATAACAAAAGCCATCGAACAGACGAGTTCTGGTTCTAATTTGATTTCAAGTTCCGAACGTACAAAATAAGAAGTGAAAATAAACCAAGATTACAAAAGAAATGAGCTTACTTTGCATGATGACATTTCATTTGGTGCCTAGAAGTACAGGTAAGAAGAGTCTTAAACTGAGCATTATTGTTAAGCTATGATCATAACAAGCTGGATCTGTACTTGTGATCATCTTCGTGCACACACATTCAGTTATCACAATAAACATTACTTCCTTTATGGTAGATTTCAACAAATTTTTAATATATTAGAGATTAGAGATACTATATATGCCACCACTGCCTTGCATCACCACCCCCATATAAGGTAAAGTTTAGCCTCTACTATGTCTCATATAATTAGGAGATAAAATGATCTGCCAAACACCAATGCTTAACTTATGCTAAGCGCGGCTGACATTAGAATCAATTATTCGGTGTATCTTCTAATTCCTGAGGCCTATCATAAATTTATTCAACAATTAATTGATGAGTCATGTCAACAGTGCTTCATAAGTTAAACATGCTTAGTAGATCATTTCTCATAATAAATCTGTTTTTATTCATATAATACAAACACGTTAGTAGGACATAGAATTCTCTATCGACCAACTAAGACACAACTTCATAATACTGTCATATTGATGCTATTTTTTTCTATTATACAGATTCATACTTAATTCCCCATAACATAATATATTTTAAATACGTTTCCATTTCCCACACAAGAACAAAAGACAGTAAAAATGATGCATCCCACGGGTACTAAATTTACTTTCCACAATCAGTCATCAAAAAGAACATCGCACATAATGAATCTTTTCATTCTTTCAACACCATTATATTGTGCGGTCATCAAAAATCGAAGAATAGCAACAATAAAATGTAACAGTCTAAGCTTATCCAAATTTTCATTGAAATGACAATAAATAAAATCAAATAAGCCATTATAATTGAACAGCTTACTTGCGGCAGATCATCTTTTCCTGGTTATACTTCCTAGCCAGTGCCATCAATGATGGCTCAATAATGCCCCCACGTAGCCTAAGAACCAAATGCAGAGTCGACTCTAACAGAGACGAAATATCAACCATAAATACCAATCCTAATTCAGAAAGGAACATAAGTCAATGCTTAAAGTTCAACAGAAGCCGTTAAAATTCACCTTTCTGAATATTGTAATCAGCGAGGGTGCGGCCATCTTCCAGCTGCTTTCCGGCAAAAATCAATCGTTGCTGGTCCGGTGGAATTCCTAATAAAATCATAATAAATCCAATCATTTCATAACTTCAGATAAAAAATAATTTAAAAAAAAAACGAAAAATGTTTATTAAACAAAAAAAATCACCTTCTTTGTCTTGAATCTTGGCTTTGACATTGTCTATAGTGTCGCTCGACTCGACCTCGAGCGTTATCGTTTTTCCTGTGAGAGTTTTCACGAAGATCTGCATTTTTCTCGGCGGCCCTGTATTTTCTGGAGGAAAATTATAAGATAGGGTTCTTCGTTTTATATAAATAATAATAGATGGGTAGCTTTAGGGTTTTACTGTGGATTGGGCCGAGGGTTATCAGGTGATCTGTTGAATGTGGGCCGATAAAAGCTTCTCTGGGTATTAAGCTTTCGGCACCTCCAACGTTAATATGTCCTATTAAAAAAGTTGTCACATACTGGATAATGTCTACAAAAATTAAAGGGATACTTACACAAATACTCTATATTTTGGAGCAGTTTTGAAAAAACATGTTAAACTTGAATTAAGTAGTAATTAAGTAAAATTTAGCCTACAAAATACACTCAAACATAGAAGATTACAGCATCAACGTATACCAGTCTCCAAATTGGGAAAAAAATTGGAAGGAGAAAGAGAAATCATCCACAAATTCGTTCATTATTCAATAATTTGGAAAAAGATCAAGGTTATTTCAATATTGAAAGTTTTGGAAAAAG